TAAAATCCTACCTTGAAGAAGGTATTATTTAATCACTTTGTGGATTACTGTTCGAGGCCAAATACTTGGATGGTTGAAGATTTAACAAATCTTAAAGGTGAAGAAGCAAAGATGTTGGATTTAAGTGACTTTTGATTACAATATCTAGAGTAAGGTATGTAACTCTTAAACTTATAAGTGTTTTTAATTTATTTGAAAGTTACATGAAAAACACAAACATTAATCCTACAGGATTTGACTGTTTCTCTTATTAAATGCTAATTTATTTTTTTATTGTGTTATATTTTAATTTATTAATTATTTTCATGTTTGAGCATGAGGTCGAATACCCAGTAGGTTTTTCATGTGTTTTTCTCTTTGTTTTGTTTACTAACTTTGAACACGTTGTCTTTTAATGATCAATGATGAGAACTTTTTTTATTTATTTGCTTAATAATTGTCTTTCGTTTGTTAAACTGTTCTTACTATTTTTCAAAGTGGATACATCATCTTTGATAACAATTTTTATTATTTATTGAATCAAATATCATTCACTATACTTCTAAACTAGTCCTTGATTTATGTTATTACTTTACGATCGAAGTGATCGGAGTAGATACTATTCAAAATCACTCTCATATTTTTTTGACCATTATTATTGTCCTTTCATTTTCTCAACAGATCTTTACAAGGGTTATTTTGATTTTTGTTGTGAGTGTCGTAGAGCTTGTATTAATTTTTGTCTAATGCTTTCAGATTTCTTTCTATGTTGTACTAGCACAAGTTCCAATTTTAAATTTTTGTTTGGGGCATTTCAGGTATGCCATTTTTATCTTTTTCTTTTTCTCTTTTTTTTTTTTTTAATTTTTTGACATTCTCTTTATCTTCCTTTATTTCCTTTGTTTTTATTTCTTTCGCTTGGCTTTCTAATTATTTTTTATGCAATTTAATAATGGTTTTTTTTTCACTAGCAATAAGTTTGTTACAAATAAAATACACACAATAGCATAAAATTATTAAAAGCTAAAAGATTTATCAAGATAAAAAAGAGAGTAATTCTTACTCATTATAATAAATTTGATGAACCTAACCTACCATAATTAAATCATTTCACAAATCTATAATTGTTTTGATGCTATATTGTCATTAATATCCTATAAAAATATACTAATTATTGTTCCTGTCAAACCATGTTGTGGACAATTTGTTAGATTCACTAATGGTTTCTGCTGTCATTGATTATTTATTTTTTACTGGAAAAAATAAGTTTTGTTATTACGGGAAGAATTGGCCAACAAATAAAGGCACGTGAAAAATCAATCTCATACTTATAAAGAGATCTTTTATTGTTAAATAAGAAGATCAGCGACCGAGCATAACTCATCTGCATTCATTGTGTTTCATAGATCGCAGGTCAACCTCTTTTTCTTTTAGCAAACAAAATGACTTCTTCCAGTTGAATATGGACTATTCCTTAACAGCATAACGGTTATTAAAATACTACAATTAAAAAAAATGCTATCAAATAAAATAAAATTTATGACTGTTAATGTGCTGATGGTAATAATTATTGGCACAAAATTTTTTCCATGCTTGATAAATTCTTTCTGAATTATAGTTTTTAGCCATTTTGTCTTAATGTATTTTCACTTTTGTTTGGCTTTTCATGTATAGTTTTCATCTTTTTAACTTTATTTGTCATACTTATACAAGCTTTATATTGTTAATCATGGTACATTGGTTGTCTAAAACTATTGGGTTGGCTTGTTTCAGTGAGCAAATGAATTTTATAGAAAAACCCAGACTACTGTTGAGGAAATTTGAGATGAATCATGTGGGCCAAAATGATCTTTGTACTCATTTAGGTGTTAGAAAATAAGCTTTTTCAATTCACTAACAACTTTCTGAAATATGGTACTAATTATAAATATTAAATTAGATGTGTTCTTTTTCTGCTATTTTTTTAAAAAATTTCAACTATTTTTATTTTTATTTACATGGATCAAATTGTCTTCCACTTTGTGTTTGAAAAGCAATCAAATCAAATAAAATGATTTTACACTTTGTGTTTAAATTTACATTTACTTTTTCATTTTCTTCAATATCAACAAGTACAACTCACCAACTAAAATACAACGACGCATAATGATTTTGATTTGGCTTATAAGTATGAATTAAGTTGAAATATCACATCATGAGTTTTCAAATTTTTTATTAATTGTTTAATTAGGGAAAAAATTACTCCTAAAGAAAAGTTGGGAAGCATAATTCCAAAAAAAAAAAGAAAAGATAAAATTTTCACATGTTTTACTGATATTTTGTGTTTGGAAAACGAAAATAAAATTATGCTGTTGAAAAAATTTGAAGGCTAAAAAAAAAAAAAAAAAAAAAAAAAAAAAGAACTTGAAAACAAACCAAAGAAAACTTTGATTAAAAATTATAATATTGACCCCATAACACAAAAAATCAATAACTAAAACCCAATCTCAAAAGATCCTATATTTCTTTTTTATTTTTAGATATTGATATGATCATCTTATATTATGTGTTGATAAATTTTATTTTCACTTTTATCTTATAAGTGATCATTAGATTTATAAAAAATTACTAAATCAAATTTTAAAGAAAGTAGTTTACCCCAGCATGGCTGGGTCACAGTCTATTTGTCCGTAATTCGATTCATTTCTCAATATACAAGGACTGAATTGATAAGATTGAGATAAAAGAAGTAAAATGAACATTTCATGTTAGTACAAGGACTAGCGGGTAAGCCTGCCAGCGGAGAGGTGGTGAGTACTCAAAAGCTGTTGGGAGACGTACGCTCGGGGGAGCATTTTCAGTTGCTTACTTGGTTAGGATTGAGTGAGAGAGTGTGAGCAAAAGCAAAGCAAAGGGCATTTGAAAAACACTGAAAGCAAGAAACAACGAATTTAAGAAAATCAAATGCATTTGTGGGTTACCAGTTCAACTTATCCACCGCATCTCAGTTTCCCTGTAAAGAGCGAGGCTCAAGTGGAAGAAATCAGGGTGTGCACCAATCGTACCTGCCGGAGACAGGGCTCCATGCAGACCTTCTACATCCTCACGGCTCTGGCCCCGCCTGGTGTCTCCGTGAAGTCCTGCGGCTGCCTTGGCCGCTGCGGTGCTGGCCCCAACGTGGCCCTGCTTCCCGACGGCCAAATAGTGGGGCACTGCGGCACCGCGGCCGGAGCGGCGGAGCTTATGGTTGGATTATGGCACGGAGGTGGCGTTGGTGATGCTTCTAACAAGAGTAAGAGTAAGACTAGCCTCGATGCTCTCGCTTTGAGAATGAGAGCTGAGGCTCTAGTTGATGAGGGCAATTTCAGTGAGGCCGAGCGCTTGCTCTCCCAGGTATAAAGAAATGTAACAAAAGTGTCAATCAGTTATGAAATTTCTTGAGCAATCAATAACAACTTATGCATAGCAATTATTCCTTTGTTTCCTACACACAGGCTATAGATTTAAAACCATTTGGTGGCGTTCACATCCTTTACAAACAAAGGTTTAATCAGTTGTGTTAATTCTATTCAAAGTGGTAAAAGGAGTCAATTTTTTCTTATCATAATTCGTTTTTATTTTATTTTGCATTCAGATCTCTTGCTAGATTGGCAATCCACAATTATTCTGGGGCTCTTGAGGATGCCACCGAATCTTTGACATTAGCCCCCAACTATGCCGAGGTGAGCTATTTGCTTTCTTCTTATTTAAATTTTAGAGGCAAGAAATTAGAACTTTGGAAGAATCTTTTACTCTCAGATGAGTTATGCTTCTTAAGAAAAGGGACCTTTCTTTCTCAAGCAAGCACTATTTAGGAGGCAAGTATGCACTTGTTTTGTCAACACATTTTAACAAATAGCAAGATTTCAGCTCTGGCATCCATATTTGTGTGCCCACCATGCGTGCTCATATATTGCAGTCATTCCACAATTAATTTTAAGGAAGAGGTTCAAAGTTGAATCTTTCTTATACAACCTACCAAAACAACGAGTACAATCGCACCAGTACAAAAATTGTAATAAATAAAATGCCATTGTGCTTTGCATGTCATCAGGATATTATCACCATTTTTTTTTTCATTTGTTAGGCTTATATTTGTCAAGGTGATGCATTCTTGGCTATGGACCAATACGATGCAGCTCAAAAGTCGTATTCAACATGTTTGGAAATAGACCCTTCTATTTGCCGTTCCAAATCATTCAAGGTATATTGCTCATTGACTGAATTGATTGCATCCCTAGCCTATAAATAGGTTTTACTTTGTAGATATATGATTTGTTTTTCAACAATTATTCATGTAGATGGCTCAGGTTATCATATGTAGTTCATCTAGGATTAGTGGCAATGCTTGATTTAGTCACAAATCCTGGGATGTCATAGAAAGTTTTGACTTGGTGTGCTGATATGGAGCTACTTTAAGAGGTTGTTCCTTCCTTGAAATGCTAAGAATACCTCATTGGCTCATACTTAACAAACGGTGTCCTTTTACACTCTCGATTATGATGCTAAGTGTAACAGTTAGTTACCTCTCCACATGCCTTGCCTTTATACATTGTAGGATGAACTGTAGTTTACACATTGGCTGCATTGTTTGTCCCTCCCAAGGTACAAATAAGTGTTGCGTTGCATAATTGAAAGCAGGAACTTCACTGATGTAGAACAGCTTGGAGGCTTGGGGCTTAGAAATAATAATAATCTGAAATTCTTAAGAAAATAGGGAAAAGCATATAAAGAAAAAGGGGAGAAAGATCCTAAGCTTCACATCTAGGGAGAAAGATCCTAAGCTTCACATCTAGGGTTCCTTGATTGCATCACACAACCAAAAGAAAGAAAACCTAGGCATCACACCTAATATTCTCACAATCATCTACCTTCCAAAAGAACAAGCATGTTGATATTTATATACGCTCCTACCAACCCTAAAAACTAGAATCCCTATTCCAAGTAGGAGCTTAAAGAAAATACTTAAGACTTCTAATGGAAAATTAACAAAACTTCAATTAAAAACTAAACCTAATAGGATGGACAAAAACCAAAACAAGATACTAAACCCTAATGTGAATGTAAAATTCTAAATATAATAACCCTATAAAAACTACAGTTAAGCTTCATAAATACAATAAAGTAACAAAATAAAATCTTAAATAAGTTGATCCCTCAATTAGCTTCTTAGCTTTGTGAATCCTTCATCTAACACAATTCAAAACTGATTTCACTACTTTCTCTCTAAACGTTTTGGTATCTACCTAGTTCTTTACTGGCTCTCCCATCAGTACTAGTATTTCTCCTCCTTGATATTAGCTTTCCTTCAATAACAATACCGTTTTGAATGCCAGTTTACCAAATTAGGCTGTTCCTTTTCCCAACATTATTACATTTATTGAGTGTGCATTATATCCCCCACATTTTTTCCACTACCACCATTATTTCCCCACTTGCCTCCATTAGTTCCTTTTCCCACCATTATTACATCTCTTGAGTGAGCATAAGGCCTGGCTTGAACCTATCAGGGCCTGGCCTGTTCACACCTCAACCCAAAAATTACAAACATTCAATTTAGTCTTAATTGTTTACTAGTGTGCTACCTTGCACTTCGCGTTAGGTTAATAAGTGTAAGGTGTAATTGTTAAAAATTAATGGTTATTATATCTATAAATATAGTGGCAATGAATCTTAGACATATCGGCAAATATTATTTTAATTTTCCAAAGGCGTCGTCAAAAAAATTGCTATTTATGTTTAAGATGTTTTTATATATCTATTAGAATTGATCTCACCATATAGCATATAATTTAATATTAAGTTTAATAGAGTGCTCTGTTATAAGAAATGATCTCATCATATAGCATAAAATTTAATCATAATTTTAATGGATTGACCTTGCTATAGAGTGACATCATTTCAATTAAGCTACAGTTGTTTTACATATAAGATTGAGTTATATTCAAGTCAAATTGTTAAAAACCCTGAGGAATAATGTAGGAAGGGGAAAATTATATCTACCATTTGCTTTTCTGTATTTACGTAGCATTATTGCACCTGCCTTACATGGAGTTTAAATGCAAGTTCGTCCTTCAAGTAATATAGTATTTTATTTTCAAAGATCCTGAATATATTCTTCATAATTAGTGCAGGTGGGATAGTTTAACTAAGCAACAATGAAAGGAAAAAATAAATTATACCAACATTTTGATGTATACGGAATATCTTCTTGGCTTATACAACTAATCCTTATAAAATTCAGTTCTTTATCTTAAAAACAAAGTTCTGTTCTCACCCAAGTTAAGATGTCTATTGTCCTTGGATTGTTAGATGATAATTGCTGGTACATCACAAATAAATCTTCAAGGTTGTAGGACTACTGCAAACCTGGACTTTAGTACAACCACCACAAAAAGAATATACATGTACTTGCAGAGGTCAGTAATTTCATCTTAATGCTCCACAATAACAAAGTAGAACACTAAAAATATGATTAAACTAATTTGTTTTAAATCATCAAGCTCATACATTCACATGTTTAACCAAGAAAACTGACCCAAAAAGTTAAGCAAAAGCCACTTTCAATACTTCCAATACTTCATTAAAAATTATAATGGAGGCAATAACTTAAATGCAGTAATAGAAATATTGAAGATCATGTGTGTATCCATTTAAAGTCCAAAATATAGATATAATTACTAAAAGGAATGTACGTCAATCAAGAGGGGGGAAAAACAGAAGCAAAAGCAGTCTAAGACTATTATACCTGGAAATAATGTTGTATGAGGCTGCAAAGAGCTTTAAATCTAACTTACATTAGAACCATGACACCAAAGAGGCTGCAAACATATCATATCATTGAAAGTAAGACATATTAATAAATTAATAAATAATTTAGATTGACTAAAGTATAAAACAACACTATATACAAAAGAACCATATTAAAATGGAATACTAGTTGTAACAAAATACCAATGATGGAAAGAAATGTCAGTACCTTCATTAAACAAAAGGCAGAAGTTTAGTTATAACTTCTTTATTGTCCATTTTTCTTATTTATTTTTCTCATTTTCATTTTTTTTTCTTTTTTCTCTTCTAGTCTCTTAATCTCTCCTCCAACTCTTCTCCTTCTCCCTTGTCTCCTCCCTCCTCCTCTCTCCCATTTCCTAGGTGCCAAAAATGTTTTAAATAAACAAGAGAAAATATTAGAGGAGCCTTTACTACTAAAAAATGAAAAGAAAAAAAATCAAAGAATGCCACATGTCAAAAAAATTGGCTTAGTCATGTTCAACCATGTTCTTTCTTTTGGTTTCATATATTTATAAGTAGTAATATGCAAATTAAAAGGCATGCATTGTATAATAATATATTCAAGTGAAACATCGATGAAGTAGCATAAATATAAAGTATTTAGGTAAATAAAAATAGAATTAAAAGTTTAAAACTTATAACATTTCAGTAATAATCCTAGTTTATAAATAATGCAAAAAACAGAGTGAAATGTGAAACATTCTATCTGGACAAAGTTGAATGAAGTGGGACATTACACAAATTAAATAATGGAAAAAATAAAATTGAAAAGTAAAGAGAAACTAGAACAAAAAAGTGCAAGTGAAAGGGGTGACACTCTCACGACAATGGTTGCACACACGATTACTTTGATAACTCAAAATGAAAAAAAATAAGCAAGGCATGGCATGATCTAATTTGAAAAAAAACTACATTGTTACACGAGTGTCTACCCAAAAAAAATACTGAAAAAAGGTAAAAATAGAATATAAAGAAGAAAGTAAAAACTAAAAAGGAAGAAGGCCAAGTGAAACAGTTTGTTTTGACAATAAAGCCACACCAATGACTTTTATATGCCTTATTTATGGTTTCTATTTTTCAGCTTGCTGCAGATTGGTTCTCTTGTTTTGTACTATCTATCTTGTTCTTCCATGGACATGCATGCACGTGTGAATCAGAACAGGCTTATCTAATTGGGGTTGTTGCAGAAGATGTCCAATCTTAATCTTTTTTTCTTGTAGAATAAGGCTCCATTTGGTTGTTGGTTTTGCTACTTGATTTTTTTCTAGAAGCAAACAATATTTGTGAAGGATTATAGATAACGTATATATATGTTTACGATAACAAAATGTATGATTTTACTTCTATGTGGATTTATTTTTATAATTATGCTTTTAAACCTTTTTTGGTGCCTTTTACCCTCTGATTTTTCTTTATAGTAACTATTCAAAAAGTAAAGAGCAAGTGACCAAAATATCAACCAAATGGAGTCTTAAGCTTTTGGCTTTAGATCTATTTGTTGTTAGCCCTTTTAAGTTTACACACACACACACACACACACACACAACACACACAGAGATTTAACTTTTAGAAAATATTTGTTATTCTTTGAATGTTTGAATGCAGATTCGGATAGCAAAACTTGAAGAGAAACTAGCTACAATAAATATGTCACATGACTCCATTTCAGAGACGTAATTGTACTGAAGAAGAATTTAGAACAAGTGATGTTGTTTCAGATACTTCCAGGTTGGACTTCCCTTCTTCCTTTAAACTATGTTTTGTTTGTCTAAATTCTTTTAGGTTGGCTTGGAAAAACTGAATTTGAATTTGGATTTTAAAATTTTGAATTTCACACCTTTTGGTCTAACATTTATGAATTTTAAATCCATGGCTTGTATGGATAAAGAATTTGGAATTTAAGATTTTAAACAAATACAAATTCATTGTTTGGGTTACTAGGATTTTGAATTAATAATTAAAATTTACTTTTTGGTAATAATTAAATTTTATTCATTTAAACAAGTAAAATAGGCGTCCTATCCATTAGTTGAGCATAATTAAGAATTGCTTATTAAAACGTTCTAAATTTTCACATTTCCTTGGTAACCAACAAAATCACAAACAAGAACAAAACAGTTAACAAACAAAATTAAACATCCATTTCCAAACTATTTTATAACTTTCAAATAGAAGAAAAAAATTCTGATATCAAACATCTCCATTCCAATACTTCTTTTCTTCTTTTTTCAATTGAGAAAGGATTTTAAAGGGCTTGAATTTGTTAAATTCCCACTTTTAAAAGAATTTTAAATTCTTAACTAGGGCCATTTAAAATTCATGATTGAATTTGGTGCAAATCCAAATCTAACATATATGATCCCCAAACAAAAAGTTTGACTTCTAAAATCCAAATCCAAATTCTGATGCCCAAATCCAGGTTCCCAAACAGAGAATTAATGAATTTAAAACTTCAAATGAAATCACAAGTTCTTGCTTGAAAGCTTGAATACTTTAACTTTTTACATGGTGCTTTGCTTGCTTAATCTTGACAGATTTGATGCCTTTCTCGGAGTTGTGGAATGATCTAACTATATTTAATATAAATATATAAACGAAAAAGCGGTTGGCAAAAAAGGCAATTGTTCTGTGTAGGTAGTCTAGTTTTCTGATTTGTGAATAGTCTGGGTAAATGCCACTTATCCTCTATTAATTCAATTGATTTAAACTACAAAATATTTTGAAAAATTAATTATATTTGTTCCCTATACAATTTTCAATATTTTTACCTTTTACATTTATGTGGGACTACTATAAATGAGAGCCTTCTACATAGTTTAAAATATGTGTTTGAATTTTTTTTTTTAAATTTTTTTCTAGATTTAATTCCTTTTTGTTAGTTCAAATAAAATGAATAATCCAAGAGGGGGATGAATCGGATTTTCAAAATTCTTTTTCATAAAAAAAGTTTTCAATATAGATATACCGAAGATATGTTGATTAACAATTCAATAGATATGTGATTGAAAGTAGATACAATAAAAATAGAGTGAAGTGTAGAGATAATTGCTAACTCAATTTATAGAAGTTCGACACTTTCTTTTGGTACCAACGTCCTCTGCTTTGGCTTGTTAAGGAATTTAATCCACTATTGAATTCAATTAATACAAATAGCTTTTGAAGGCTTAGGTATAACCTCCCTATCTTTTAAGGATTGAGTGTTTGAGAAAAATATATAAGCAAGAAGATATCTAATAGGTGGATATTGCTTAGTGAGTGCAAATTTGCAAGAGATAATATCAAAGATGATTACAAAAAATATGACTGAAAGTTCAAATGGAGTTCAGATCACTTAAAGACTTTGAAAGCTTGGGAGAATGGAGTAAATGCTTACTCTCAAATTGATTCTTGTTTATGCTCTATTTTTCTTTTCATCTTTTTCTTCGTAATTGAGCTGAAAGTGGCCTATTTATACTTAGGAAGGCTGTTGAAGCTGTCAGGTACCATTAAATACATGAAAGAGTTGTTGCTTTGCTGAAAATCTGCCTTCTGCACTACCAACGGCTACTTTGGGATCGATCCCCTACTTCATGGGATTGGTTCTTCACCTGAAATTTAAAAATTTGTGAGACGGGGATCTGTTTGCTTAGGGACCTTTTTGCTTCTGTCCAACATTGACTGATCCCTTAACCCTTGGGATCCATCCTTGTTGCTTCTCTTTGAATAAAACATCTAATTTGAACCTTTTTTGTTTCAAAGCAATTTTGATATTTCGAAACACCGTAAATACTTGATATAAATATGAATTTTAATGTCATTAAGTAATTTAAGATTTTGAATATCTCCTAAGCGTAAAAAAATTATTTAAGGGTTTTTGAAAACGAAGAATTTAAGATAAAGTCTATTTAAGCAATTTTGATAGTAGTTTTTGTTATTTCAAAATTAAAATCAATTTAAAGTTAACACTTCCATTTTTTTTTCTTTATTTGTTTGTTTTTCCAAGCATTTTATTTGACTTGATTTGTATTAGATGTCGTGTTTAGCTTCAAGGTTAAGTTGTTCTTTGTTATTTCTTTGTTCAATTACTTTTCGATTACATTCTGATACTATAATTCAATAGAATTGTAAAAAGAAGCTCCAATCTTGTACAGTGTGTCTAGCCCTTTATTCTAGTATTTGTTCCTCATTACATTCTGCTTGGCTCATTTATTTTAAAGATGTTTAGAGATTTCACATGTGCAAGATTCACACAGTGTGACCATACACTACTTCTCTCCCATAATTTTCCACATTCTGTTTTGCTAATTCTTCAATTTTTATGCACGATACTTTTGGTGGCATGGCATCATAGTCATTAGTGTATAGCATATAGAGAGCATAGAGTATCCTAAGATCAGGAATGTAGAAAAGCAGCAAGCTGAATGTCTCTTCAGCGAAAGCTCTGTTTTAATCTTGTAGTTAACAATTCTTTATTTCACTGGGCAAGGCTGTTATCTGCATGTTGAATACTTAAAATGCATTTAAATAATTGGCCTCAACCCTCGAGGAACTGCTATTTCTTTTAAGATGGTTTTATTTCCCTTCGTTGCAGATTATTGAACTAGTCATTCTTTAGCATGCAATCAATACTTTAATTTGTGTTATGATCTTGATGAATGGAGCCATTAACAATCCTGATCTATAAATGCAAGCCATAAATTGGTTTCTGAACACCCTCCCAAGCTACTTTTGGACATGGTATTTGGATTGTCATCGTAGTTCTATGCCCAACGTAAAATCCCATCCCAAACCTTAGGCCTTTCCGAATGAATGGGTAGTCCTAATTTCACAATTGGAATATTGTTTAATATTGTTCAATATTGTCATCAAGTATTCTTAAATTAACTCAGTAAATTATATAGATTAGATTGATTAAAATTGGAATAGAAGGATTAAAATAATTGAATTGTGAAAGTAGATTGATCAAATTCAAATTTTGATGTTTTTACATATATTAATATGCAGTGGAGAAAGAATATATGAAATAGTTAAGTTTTATCAGCTTATATTTCCTCCCATTCATTGAAAGTCAAATTATCATTTGTTAGAGTAGTTTGCTCAAATAATAAGACAATTTCAAGAGTGGGGTGAATTGGAATTTTCAAGAAGTTTTTCAATCTAGAAGATTTTAATAATTTTAAATGTGAAAGAGGTTGAAAATTCATTTCGAGATGTTTTTAGCACAATCAAACTCTTTGGTAGATTGTTTTCAGCACTGTGAAAATTTAAGGATAAAGGAAAATTGCATATGATATTTTTTAGAGGCTCGATCTTAACATCTTTTCTTTTAGCAAGCTAACAAGTTTCAATCCACATATTCATAAATGCCTTTTTAAGATTCAAACTTAATTTTTAAAACCCTTTTCAAGGATAAGGTATAATTGCACAACTGTTGGTTTTATTCACGTTTTGATATTACAAAATTGATTGAATTTAATGAGCTTTAAAAATAAATGAAAGATATTTTTGAATATGAAGAAAATAGTCAAAGGTGTTTTGAAGCTGAACTTAAGAGAAAGATATATTAAAATATTAAGATTAATTAAATATGCTTTGAATATGAATAATCATGCTCTTGAAATTAAAAAAATTGTTTCTTAGTTTCTCTAAAGAAAAGACTGGATTCTTAAATGAGAAGAAAGCAAAAGTCATTTCTTTATCATAGGAAGAATCGATTTTGAAAAAGGATAAGTTAGTTCTTAAAGAAAGATCAATAGTAAAGAATCAATTTTGAGAAAAAAAAAAGTTAGTCTTTTGAAGATAAAAGTTTCAAGATTTGTGAAGAATCGACACATCACAGAGAAAGAATCTATTCTAGAGAGAGAGAATACAGAAGGTGGAAAGCAAAAAAGAAAGAATTGATTATACATGAAGAAATTGGTTTTTGAAGCACCATAGCAAGATTCAAAAAGAATCGATTCAATGTTTGGAGTTATTTATGGATGATTTTTCTGTTTTTGAAAATAATTTTGATAATTGTTTTATGAATCTTGCTAGGGTACTAAAGAGAAGTGAAGAAACAAATTTGGTGTTCAATTGAGAAAAATATCACTTCATGGTGCAAGAAGGTATTGTTCTTGGGCATAATAGTGACATTGAGATAGACAAAGCGAAGATTGAAACAATTGATAAGCTACCACTTTTAATAAATGTCAAAGGTATTAGAAGTTTTTTTGGTTATGTTGGTTTTATTGAAGATTTATCGAGGATTTTTCAAAATTTCTAAATCACTTGGCAATTTATTGAAAAAAGATGTGTCATTTAAATCTGATAATTATTGTCTTGCTATTTTTGATAGAAAAGATTAATTTCTTCACCTATATAATTAGCCTCAATTGGACTTTCCAGTTTGAACTAATGTGTGATGCGAGTGATTATACGATGAGAGTTGTTTTGGGGCAAATGAAGGATAAATTTTTTCACTCCACTTATTATGCTAGTGATACTTTGAATGAGACATAGAAAAATTATACCACAACAGAAAATGAGCTTTTGGCTGTAGTTTTTACTTTTAACAAATTTTGCACCTATGTAGTTGGGCTAAAAGTAATAGTGTACATTGACCATTTAGCTATCAAATATTTGATTGCCAAGAAGGATGTTAAGCCAAGATTGATAAGGTGGATTCTTTTGTTACAAGAGTTTGATAAAAAAATTCATGATAGAAAAAGAATAGACAATCAAGTGGCAAACTACTTCTCAAGATTGGAGATTGAAGCTCAGAGTAAGGATTCAACCTTAATCAAAGAATGGTAAAAGATGCATGTGTATATATTGTGCAATGGTTGGTTGAATATAAACAAAAAAAAAATTTGGTCTTGAAAGTTTGGTTGAGTAAGTAGAAATATGTTTAGTGATTGTTGATGCATGTTGACATTTTTTGCTCATTTTGGATAAGTGCAATTTTGAGAGGGTTAGTAGAATTTTATTTGCCTAATGTTGATTGTTGTGGATAATGTAAGAATTTCTTGCAGATTGTGGTGTGGAATAGTACAATATTTGTTAAAAGATGCTACTTATATATCAGTTGTGCAAGTTTTAAGTTGGGTCAGTTGAATTGGAAATAAATTAATTCATGCATTTGAAATTTTAAAATTTTCTTGGCTATTTGTTGGACATATTTGGTAAGTAGCACTAATTGTACAATGGTACTTTGGATTTGCTTTGATTGATTGAATTTCTTTTGCAGGAATGGCACCAAAGCGATCCAAACCAAACTTAAGTGTTGCTTTTGACCGATCAAAGTTCGTCTCCGCTGATGTCTCTGCAAGATATTATACTTCGCTGATCAACAAAGTACCCATTCTCGAATGAGGGTTAAATATCCCTATCGTCCATTATGAGGAGATTCATCAGATGATCAGAGAATGATGTTGATAGCTATTTTGTGACCAACTTGAAGTTATGATTGTGCTAGCTGTAAATGAGTTTTATGCAAATGCATTTGAGCATGTTAATGGTGTTTCTTTTCTAAATGACAAATAAGTCCTTTTTCACAGTTTGGCCATCAATGTAATTTTTAAAACTCTCAATATTGAGTATGATGAATGTGGACAGTACTTGGGTGATTATTAGGATTTTAATGGGTTAATATCAACGCTTTGTGTTGAGAAAGCCCAATGGAAAACATCCCATGGAGAGTCTGTTTCATTTAAACGAAGTGCAATGAAGGAGCTGAAAGCATAGCTACATTCTGTGGCGGTGAGATTGCTTCCATCCACTCGTATCAGTGATGTGACAAAGGATTGTGTAGTTCTTAGTTATGCCATTTTGACGCATAATCCATTGATATTGGTAAGGTTATCTCCCATGCCATCTTACATATGGACTGAACCAAATGCAATGGTATAAGATTTCTTTCCTTGATCACTACATTGTGTGAAAAAGCTAGTGTACCTTGAAGTAATAAGAAGAAGCTGCAATAATCTAAAATCTCAATCACCATGGGCATTATGAGGCAATTGGAAAAGTTGGCATCGGTAATTGGTAGTTTTTTGCAAGCTGCCCCACCACGTCCATAATCGACTCTCACTCTTAGTGTTGTTCAATGAATGAAGCGCATTGATCATTGTTTGGACCATTACAAGAGGCAAAATTGGGCAATCAAACAAATGATGAGAGCTTATGTTGAACATATTGGATGGATATGCCAACCTTTCTTTTTTTGCCTATGGATTTCGACTTTGATGTTTTTGGTGTGGACGAAGAGGATGACTAGTAGATTGCAGCTATGACGTTAGGAGAATTTTCTTTCTCTTTCTTTTTAATTTTCTTTTGTCACATTGAGGGTAATGTTTTATTCCAAGTTTGAGGAAGTTTTTTTTAGAATTTATTAGTTTTTTTTATGTTAGATTTATTTATTTATATTATATTTGCTTTTATCCCCTAACGTCGTAGCTGCAGTTTACTGGGCATCCTTTTCTTCCACACCAAAATGATTGTCAGAGTCTGAATCCTTAAGCAATGTAGGAAAAATTGATATATCCATTCCAATATGTTTAGCATGAGCTCGAACAAATGCTTGATTCTGCCTTTAGTGATGGTTCAGATGATGATCATTACGCTCCATCTATTGAACAACACTACAAGTGGGAGTTGATTGTAGAGGTGGTGGGGCAGCTTGTGAAGAACTACTAGCTATTGGTGTCGACTCTTCCAATCGCCTTATAATGTTTAACACCCCGTACCCTCATACAGAAGCTCATAAGACCTTATCGATATGACTAAGAGTCAATTGACGTAAATTTAAGTACCAAAGAGCGGTGATGGACAAAAGGAATATTTTTTGGAATAGAATATTTCATATGTGATAAAATAATAATTAAATAATAATATTATTATCAAAGATGAATTAATAGGTTAAAAGGTGATTTGGAAGTAGACTGGGGTAAAGTGAGACACTTTGGAACCTAAGGAGACAAGTGGAGAATTTTGAAATAAACTAATATTAAAATATTAATATTTTAATTATTATTGAGATTAGTCATGGAGGAGAATTATATGACTAATCTAAGTGGGGGAGACGAAGTAAGAAAGAATTTTGAAAAAAAACAACATTAATGGGGGCTCACGTGCCTTTATTAAATAGAACACAAACGGGTA